ACAGACTGTCACAATATAGCCATTCCAATAGTGCTGAAAGGGGTGCTAAACACCAACAATCAATCAATCACTTTTTTTTTAAATAAACCTCTAGTCATGCTGGCCATCGTAGAGTAGAGTTTCAAATGGTTATCATTAAAAAAAAAGTTGATTGGAAAATCTTTGTTCTCGACGGAGGGAAATAATGAGTTTGATTTATTTCATAGATACTAGCTTTTATTGTTCAATTCAGTTGTTTGACCTCTAGAGTCATTTTTGTGTTTTGTATTGTTAAGTTGCTGTCTCATCGATGTACAAATGTATAACCCTTACTATCCATTTGAATCCCCCTTTAGGTCTTACCTGTATATTTTGTTTATAATCAGTCAACCAGAAGGGGGGGGTTCAAATGGAAGTCTTTCCCTTATCTCCTGTTCTTCAGTTTAATGAGTAAAAAGTAATTTAATTGTGCCAAAAAAAATTGTAAATAAACAGGCAGCAACATAACAAAACAAATTCATAAAATGACATCTAGCTATAAGGACAGGTAAAAACAAAGTATACATTGACACAAATGATTGACATCTAGAGGACAGGTAAAAACAAAGTATACATTTTGTAATTGCCAAACTGACTACATTCTGGTATAGGATACATGAATATAATATAATTATACATTTGTATTTACCCCCCCCCCCCCTCCCCAGGTTACATCCACCATGGGAGTGGGTACATTCTAGATGGTCTGCTAAAAATGTATATATACATGTACCCACTCAATGATATGGACATCTCATTTCTTCCTTCTCACAATCTTTAGAATTAAACACACAAAACCTTAGAAAAATGAGTCAAGCTTTTGTGTTGATATTTTCCAAAAAATCTAACTTAAAGAGTAAATTTCAGCAAAATGACAAAATCCACATTACATCTATTGTAGTTGTATTTTCATTTAATTTAGTAACTATATCATTTAATTTGTTTGTCCATCATTCAAATCTAATGCCTGGGAGCAGAGAATTTCTTTTAGTACATGCATATATATTATTTTTACTTGATTAATAAACTAAAACAAATACACAGAAATGTTTAAAAGACTAAAAGAAAGTACAATAAATAAAGATACAGATTTTGCCTTCACTTATCAAATTCCAGAGACTTGAGCAAGTGTTTGCAAGAAAAACATTAACTTGACCAAGACATAACATATATGACATAAAACAGTGCTGTTTTTCAAAGCATTGACCTTTCACGATCATGATCCATATATATATATAAATTAAGTGTTGGGTAAAGTATACAAAAATCACAAAATTTATATTTTAACAGAAAAACACCAACATGAAAAACAAAACATTGCTGTCAGACAATCTATTCATATTTTAAAAGTGTTTAACATGTTTTACTTTAATTGTTTTTACAGGTTATAATTAAGTCAAGTTTAAATGTCTAACATATCCATGATATCAGTTCAATTTCTGATGACCATATATGATGACCACCAGGCTAAAAAAGATTTTAACAACTCTATCATGCATCATTAACCTTTTAGCATCATACATATGACCATGCATGAATAGATTTAAAAGTCCTCCCTTGACTTCAAACTTTTATTTACAATCGTAATTGTTGGATCAAGTCTATTGAAATAATCAAGTACACAGTGTAGATGAGAAGGACAAGACACACTTGACCAACATCAGATGAGGTGTTACATGTTTTTTTTTAGTTATTAGGGAGCTACCATTTGATTTTTATGGCATGTAGGGGGGGGGGGGGCTAGGATGAAAAATTTTGTCCTGCCTTTTTATAGTTGTAATCTCTGTCCTCTATTCGGTCCTGACTTTTTTACATAAATTGTCATCCTGCATTTTGTTTTGCCATGTTGCTCATCCTGCTTTTTTTTTTAACTCAAAACTCCTGTCCTGCCTTTTTTTCAAATTTCATCCTAGGCTAGCCCCCCCCCCCTAAAAATCAAATGGTAGCACCCTTACTTGTACAATGTTTATTGTATTTTCATACATTTGTATACTCCTTGTATTTTGTATTAACATTTCTAGTCTTCAACATGTGCATGTACAATGTAAGGCAACCTCTTCCCTTTCTGTTAATGCTTACATGTACCAACATGCCTGGACTTTTTTGCACATTGGCCTCAATTTTCAAGCCAACTTACACCCATTACAGATCACTTTAATTTAAGACTGATTCAAACTCTACCCTTGAACTGTAAAACCATACACCTTTCAATTACAGTTGATACATTTAATATTGTCTCACATTGATATACATCTTAAAACTTCTGTTACATGGTCCAAGGACACAGTTATCGTCCTTTGGTTTTCGTTGTCTACAAATATAGTCCCTAGTGTGAACAGTGTATAACTTGCATTTTTTTTTGATACACTTTCCCAATTTATTTCTTGATATTTTATGCATGAAATATTAAGTAAGGGGATGAAATTACATGTTAAAAAAATTTGGGTGCTGAATCTTTATGTTAAGTAGTGATTTGGTCCAGTTAAAAAAGGTCAAAAATTAGAATGTCTGAAGCTGTCAAACTGAATTTTAGCCCCCCTTAACACAGAATTGTCAATATTTTGAGTTAGAGCTGGTAGAAGTTTCTATAATTTTGATATTATTTGTATCAATAGTAGTACACTACACTGTAAAAATCTTTTTGAGATAGAGCAGGTGCGATTTTTTTAATTTGAATTTACTGTCTAAAAGAAATGCACTACGAAATAACTGTGTTCTCGGGCCTAAGAGATGAATTCCGTAAATGTAGATTCTGTACTTTGGCAACTTTCCTGAATGGTTTGCTGGTTTCAATTTGTCAAACTCAATAAAAGTAAAGGATTTACATCTTTGTTTGACAGAAATTCTGTTAAAATAAGCATTTTGGCATTATACGGCTAAAATAAGCATTTTAAAGCAGTTTCCATTTTATGCCTAAGAGCCATGCTGACTTTCTATCTGACAGCTTTTTATGTTCCTGATATTTGTGTTTCTATGCTTAAATCAAATTTAATTAACCATTTGTGAACTCGGAATCTAGAGAAAAGTAGATTATCACAGAAAAAATGTGCAGAATATTTGTATTTATGTCCCTGGTTAAACGGCCTGTTTGATGTATGTGAAATGTGAAGAGCTTTGTACATAAAATCTGTAGTCCATCACAAATATTTCACTAAATCTGTAAAAAAAACACTTTACAATGATCAGTACACCCTATTCATTTCATATGCTACCATAATTTTCTTCTTTAGGATAGTAAGTGGTTCAAATATATGCCAAATGAGACTAAAACTACATGCAAGTTTTCCATTGAAAAGTGAAAAACTGGTCATCAAACCATACTGTCTGCAAAAAAAAGTTGAATTCAAGAGTCCTTTTGCAATTAGACTTCTTGTATCATGACATCTTAGCATAGAAATGAGCAAAAAGTAACAAATTTCAATTTCTTATAGCCTCTGTGTGCATTTTTATATGTAAATATGGGCTACGGCCTAAATCGACTCTAAATAATTCTCAGTCTTACATGGCCTAAGACCATTTTATACTCATGTGGTATGCTTTTTGTAACTTTTCTTTACATTTAAAGTACATTTAATATATATGGAAGAATAATGTATGGTTAAAAAACTTCAAAAACTTCAAATTGGTTGAAAAAAATGCATGTTTATGTAAGGCTTCCCTTAATTCGAAAATCTCTATTTTCAGGCACAGGCTCATATAAATTTGACTTTTGAATAACTGAAATAAATCTGATAAATCAAATGAGTGTTCCGTTGCTTTAAATACTTATTATATTAAATTCAAGAGTATTTAAAAAGCAAATTTTTGCAATATTTAAATTTTTTAGGCCAAAATCTTGACAGTTGAAAATATTTGATTTAAACGTCAAAAATAAACATCCAAATTTCAATATTAAAATGGCCCTAGTTTCTATAATATATATCCTATGGCCATGAAACTTGGCCAACTATCTTATAATTGCCTAAGCTTAGGTCATGCAAAGTTTTATTAAAATTGGTCAAGTCTTTCTATCCTATTAGGTCCAAGGACACAGTTATCGTCCTTTGGTTTTCGTTGTCTACAAATATAGTCCCTAGTGTGAACAGTGTATAACTTGCATTTTTTTTTGATACACTTTCCCAATTTATTTCTTGATATTTTATGCATGAAATATTAAGTAAGGGGATGAAATTACATGTTAAAAAAATTTGGGTGCTGAATCTTTATGTTAAGTAGTGATTTGGTCCAGTTAAAAAAGGTCAAAAATTAGAATGTCTGAAGCTGTCAAACTGAATTTTAGCCCCCCTTAACACAGAATTGTCAATATTTTGAGTTAGAGCTGGTAGAAGTTTCTATAATTTTGATATTATTTGTATCAATAGTAGTACACTACACTGTAAAAATCTTTTTGAGATAGAGCAGGTGCGATTTTTTTAATTTGAATTTACTGTCTAAAAGAAATGCACTACGAAATAACTGTGTTCTCGGGCCACATAGAAGGTCAACTGCAAACAGATTTTGGAAGGAAAATACAATGTACCTGATGTATGCCTTATTTTCAGAGTATTCCTGCCTTTGGTCTACTGTATGTTTCTGTCTGTGTTGTTACTTGTTTTGGCAGCCCCCCCCCCCCCCCCTTTTGTGGGAAAAATTTGGTTGATTATATAGGGAATGAATCACTGAAGCATGACTGGAGCAGGCTCCCTCTTAGGGCAGTCAGTGGGCCCCCCTTATAAAAATTTCTGGATCCGCCACTGATAGGCATTTACCCCCTCCCCCTATTTTCTCATCATTTAAATAAAGATTACAGAAAAATCAATATCTTGTCTTTTAAAATCTGCAACATTTCAGATGAGTTTGTTTCGTGTACTTGTAATTACGAATTTGCAATATTTGTTACATAAAAGTGGGGCCTTGGCCTGAAAGATGCTGAAACTGAAAGACAAGTTGAAACCCTACTGTGACTCATTTTGTAAATTATTCAACTTTTTATGCATGCTTACGTCGGGACTCTTCTTTCTAGGAGTTGAATCCATTGTTTTTTTATGTCCTAAAATAGTGACCTTAACATCTGTATACGATTTATTCACATCTAATGATCACAGTACGTTTTCTGCAACAGCTGATTTTTATTGTCTAACCACAACAAAGAGTGCTCATTCATGCTTGACAGTTTCCGGTGTTTTAGATTTATCTTAACACCACACTTTCAATCGTTTTCGACAGCACATTTTGCAAGTGACAAATATTCCATGCATATTTGCTATTTTTTTTTAAGTTAAAAGAAACAGTTGAAAAATAAATTTATAAATGAAACCTAATTTTTGTACACATGCTTATCATTCATGAGGGTCTTTCAATTCTATATTCTTTATTTTTTCAGCCATTTTTCTCTATTCTTTATAAATTTTTCCTGGTATTCACTATTACTATTTAGATTTTTCTCTATTTTTCATATTTTTTACCCTGTATTCTGCGTGTTTTGTCCATTGTTCTCTATTTTGTAAACCCAATGATCCAGACCCCCTCATAGTAAAAAAAAATAAGATTTTAAACTTTGTCCGGGTAATTTAAATGGGAATCGTTTTTTTAATTCCAGGAACAGCTTTAACATACAACCCGACTTCATTATTATGGACTTCATTAAAGCTTTTGATGAAGTTCATTATTACTGCCTTCAGAAGGAGATGAAACTGATGAAGAAGAAAAAGAACGGTACTTCCGTCATCCGTGAAAAAGAAGAAGACGCTTGCTGGTGGAAATAAAATAGCAAGAAAACTGCGATAAACCGCAACCTATATGAGGGTCTTGATGAATAGAAAATAATGAATAAAGAAGAATGAGCCAAAAAATAAAGAATAGAAAATAATGAGGTGCAAAAGTACAAAGTATAATTGTCCACAAAAATAAAAGATTTAGGTGATATAATACTGATTACAGAAATGAACGAAGTGCAGAATAATTTAGAAATCATAAAATTACAGAAAAATATAATAGTAAAATCATGTTCACGAAAATTTTACAGAATAAGCGTTATTTTTAGAAATAAAGAAAAATGTCTTAAAAATCTACAGAATAAAGAAATTAAGGACCCTAAGTCAGACCCTCATATATGCTTTCATGTCACAGTAAGGTTGGAGACAAATCGGCTCATATCTTCCCACGCGCAACAACTTGCCAAACTTAAAATAGACGACATAAAAAGCATATTGGTAATGACTAATACCTCCTCCACTAAACATGTTTGAATCTATCTGCTACAGCGGCTTATATCTAGGCGTTACTTTACAATCAAATCAAAACTGCATTTAGACAACACGCTTTCAATCGGAAATAAATCCTTGAGTATTCTTAAATGATACTTTAAATTATGTACTCACAGAAGTCCTTACTTTACCAAAATTAAAATAAGGAATGTTAAACCTATGTTACTATGTTTTCCTCTCACGTTCATTATTTTTTGGTTCCGGCATTATTCTCTATTTTAGGCCCATTGTTCTCTTTTCCATATACCCCCACCATGCAGATCATCGTGTATGTGTGTCGTAACAAATTCATTTAATAAAATTTTCGTGTAACAAATTGTAAATAGAGAAAGAAGACACAAAATGTTTATAAATAAATATAACGAATAAATTAAAATAATTCTAATTAAAAAACATTTGCTTTGCATTAGACTCGGACCTCTGAAAGAGTTGTTACAAGAGTTATTTTATGTGCACTGTGATACTTTGGCTCCACGAGTCATCATAGTTATAGTCCCCATTAGACCTGTGTGTGGATCAGTATTTATACATCCCGCAGAACCAAACGGACGTCCAATGATGCTTCTTCTGAAACTGGGATACATTAATTCTCTACCCAGAAGTATATTCGAAGAGATTTATTGAGTAGTAAAAAAATTGCTTAAACTTTTACACTTTTATAAGCCCTCATGACTGACAAAATCTCATTTATTATACTTCATGTCAAAATGCCAGAATTTAAATGGTTAATACGAGGGAGATAATTTATTATGTGTTATATTAAGATATATAGGATTTTTTTTAGAGACAAGTGCCTGTGTAATGTATGCAAAGGAAGTATATACGTAGTTGCTTCAATTCATTTCGGCAATGAAAATGACACATTATATAAATGACACATAGCTGAGAGGGTGATAGCTGAGAAAAAAACACTAATTGAAAAAAGAGGCGGCGAAAGATGTCGAAGGGAGCAAGAAGCAAAACTCATAAGTATAAGATAGACCGGTTAAATCATGGCAAAAAACGAAAAACGACGAAAGAGAAACAACTGTCTACAAAACAAATATATACTGAAAAAAAACTAGAATGAGTAACACGAACCCCACCAAATCAGGGGTTGATATCAGGAGCTCCGAAAGGGTAAAACATCCTGCTCCACATGTGACAACTTGAACGATTCTAGAATTGAAAATAACAGGATGAAAATGAACATTCTGCGCCCAAAATGCAGAATATAATTTTTTTTTAAATCCGGAATAATCTTTTCGAACGGCATCATCAAAGCGCCACCGTGATCAACTGATAAAAAAATTCCATCCTCGAAGTTCTAGTCAATTTTACTTCACAGAAATGACTTTTTTCAAATTTCACTACAATACGTATACGTTTTTGCACTGTTTCATGTGTCTTGCCTTTACATTTTTTTTAATCCAACAACTGAATACTGTCAGACGAAAAAGTAAGACTATGTACTGTCACTACGAAAATATACATCTTGCCACATGCATGATCTATGTAACACGTGTTTGTGCATTGAGACATCAAGAAGTCAACATCTATAATCAAATTTCAAAAATGACATCCATAGAGTTTTGCTAAGCATGGCATTTCATCCAGGCTTTAAAATAATAATCGTAAATTCTACGTAACAATGGTGAAAAACTGACAATACTATGGCAAAAAATAACGAAAAAATACGAAATGTCAAAGAACAGTCTATAAACGCATTCAGACTAAAATTCAGATTTCTCGTAACTCGCTTACTCGTCGAAGAGCATAACGAAATTAGAGATATATATTTTAATTACATTGTCTACAAAAGAACAGTGGAATCGAGTCTGAGCAACACTAACCCCATCAAAAACTGGGGTTTATCTCAGGTACATGTATTGCATAAGGGTAAGCAAATCAATCATCCTACACGTGTCATGTTTCCTCAATAAATGCCGAAGGACCAACTATTAACTTAATAAGCTGTAGAAAAATGAAGCCTGCTCATAATATAAACACGACTTTACTGATACTGTATCTTTAAAGTTGAAAATGGAAATGGGGAATGTGTCAAAGAGACAACAACCCGACCAAAGTGCAGAAAACAGCCCAAGGGCACCAATCATGGGTCTTCAACACAGCGAGAAAATTCCGCACCCGGAGGCGGGCTTCAGCTGGCCCCTAAACAAAAATGTGTACTAGTTCAGTGAAAATGGACGTCACACTATACTCCGAAACATATAAATGAACTAAAGTTAGAAAAAAAACATACAAGACTAACAAAGGCCAGAGGTTACTAAATTGGGACAGGCGCAAAAATACGTCGGAGTTAAACATTTTTTTGTGAGATCTCAACCCTCCCCCTATACCTCTGGCCAATGTAGAATAAACAAACACACAGCATTACGCACAGTAAAACACAGTTTAAAAGAAGTCTGAGTTCGATGTCAGAATAGGTAACAGAAGAAAATAAGCAAAATGACAATGATATATTAATTAACAAAGGAATACTAGCAGTTACCAACATGCCAGCTCCAGACCTTAATTAAACTGATTGAAAGATTAGATATGAAAATCAAGTACAATCCCTCCCGTAAGGGGTTTAGTATCATACCATCATAAAATGAACATAACCCGTATCATGCCAACAACTGGTTTTAGAATAAATGTGTTTATTTCCGATGCAAAGACCCTATGAGTGAATCAATATTAATACCAAAATATGCAATCCTTAATGACTTGACAACAGGCGTAACTATACATCCCTTCTGAATAAGTCTGCTTAAAGGTTTGGTTAGCTTTTGTGGTGAATGACGACATTTTCATCGGATTAGAATAAAATGCAAAACAGTATTTTTAGTTGCACGATCCTTTTATACCCATCGAAATAAAACTAGACACAAAAAAAAAATTGCAGGGAAGACAATCAAATAACAATAATTAAGTTGAATATTTAATTGAAATTATGACATACAAAGTTGCTCCATTGATATCAGTAAAATCTTTTTGCATCACATTAAGATTTTCAGTGTTATTTCTAAAAATTACTCGAGGCAGCATACATACGCATATTATTTTTACAAGAATAAAAGGAAATATGGAATAAACGCCAGTGAGACAGCAACCCATCTACGCGAAACCAAAAGATATCTAGAGGTTATCATACGATGTTTAAGAACACAATATGCCATATTTTAAACGACCCCAGTCTAGAAAATCTGTGAATTAATTATACCATGGAAGTGCTATATATAATACTTCCATGATTATACATATATGTAGATATCGATCAATCGCTCAAATCAACAAATTAATTTGTGTGTCCTAACAATATATTTTTGTCATTTTTCATTAGTTTAACACTTCCTGGAAAGTTGAAAATATAATTGTTTGGCAATAGAGCTATCAATTGTTTTCGCCTCGCTGCGCTCGACTGAATTGTTGAGATCCGAATCATAAGTTAATTTCAACATGTTCTTGCAGTACTACGTATACTTGCAGACAAGAAATATGGGCCTATGGTTTCCGGAACTCTAAGGAGATGTGGCAACGATAAGGTAGCTAAAAATGGTACTTAATTTATTTCGTTATTACAAGAATTGAATATCATCTGCAGCTGATGCATTGCACTAGCCACAAAAAATCATAGTCATTGTAGCGTATTATATATGAGTATAAATATAAAATATAAATATATATATATAAATATATAATATACTTAAAAGTCAACTCAGTGTAGGACGAATATATTGATTTTTAGATAGAAGTTGTTGTAAAGTTACTCAATTCTCGTGTTTATTATGAAACAGGTTGTGTACATGTATGTTTTTGAAAAATATAGATTAACTCTAAAAGTAAGACAGCTAGGTGTGACGTTAAAAGGTCTGATTTGATACACGAGTGTAACATAAACTGGAACTTTCTTCATT